TTTTCCCATCAACGAATTTTTTTGCAATAAAAACTTATGAATTTAAGAGACCAGAAAAAAATAATGGCTTGAGTGCAGAGCGTGGTCTTTATATTTTCAGAACATAGGAAAGTTGCTGGAAAAATGTATGCAAATTGCCACAATTTTCACACACAAGCCCTTTGACATATACTTAGAAAAAGTAATTCTAAGATTATATAACAAAAGGCTTAAGTGTCGGACATGGCCATCATATTAATTATATATAATTTATTTAACAAAAAATTGACAAAAAAAAATTATAAATTTCCACCATTTTCCCATACAAGCCTTTTGGCACATGCTTAGAAAAAGTGACTCTAAAACAATATATAAAAAGGCTTGAGTGTTGGACATGGTCTTCATATTATTTATACATAATTTATTTAACAAAATTCTGACAAGAAAATCTATAAATATCCAACATTTTCTCACAGAAGCCGTTTGGCATATGCTTGGAATTATTTATAATTCGTCATATAAAAAAATAAAACTAAAAACCTAAATATCACCCTCTCTCATCTAAATATCGATTCTCAAGGTTATTTTATAATAATTTTATTATAAGAGTTGTCTGGTGGCCGGACTATTCAACGACTAATTTTATACATTTTAAATGTTTATTAACTTAACGCCCTTTTAAATAATTGTAAAAATATTTCATTTGATTAACTAAATAAATGTATATCATAGTACTTACCAATTATTTAATTTGAAGAAAAATAACTAATGTAATGAACACAACAACCTGTAACTTCAATTTTAACCAAAAAAATAACGCACAATAATTATTTAATTCAATAACTTTTATAATTTGAAATAATGATACATCAAAGAAACATCAACATTTTCTAATCGACTTCAAGAAAATCATTTTGATCTGTTAAAAGATTTATCTCCTGACATTCTTGACTGCTTTAATATCTTATATAAATGCAATTTAAAATGGTTTCACGAAGTGTATTCCATAGAATACTTGATCGTCATCATTAAATTCTAGGATATCTACTTTTTCATGTTTAGTAGCTGCATTTTTATTTTATACATACATTAATTTTATAAAAATTAAAAAATGGACCAACATATATTTGTAACGAATCTGTTAATAGGGCCAAGTCTTTTCACCTCTGAATTAAGTTGAAAGTAACTACCTACTTGCTGATTAAACTATAAGAATAATCTTTCAAGTAAACCTACATGTAACTTTACTCAGAGGTTAAAAGATTGACCCTTGAGGTGTTTTAAAGTTTATATTTAATGCCCTTTGAAAGAATATATAAATGTTTCTATAAAATAAACACATTGTTAATTCAGCACTAAATTCATATTAAAATTTACTGTACGAATAATCGCCGAACAATAAATAATAATAACCCTGCATAAATATTTATTTGTAAATTTTTTTGTCAGTTCTTTTTAGATAAATAATATGCTCCATGTCCGATACTCAAGCCTTTTATATCGTTTTAGAATTACTTTTTCTAAGCATATGACAAACGGCTTGCGTGAGAAAATGGTGGAAATTTCTAGATTTTCTTGTCAGCTTTTTGTTAAATAAATTATAAAAATATAAATAATTTGATGGCCATTTGTTATATAGTCTTAGAATCACTTTTTCTAAGCATATGTCAAACGGCTTGTGTGGGAAAATTGTGGCAATTTGCATACATTTTTCCAGCAACTTTCCTATGTTCTGAAAATATGAAGACCACGCTTCTCACTCAAGCCATTATTTTTTTCTGGTCTCTTAAATTCATAAGTTTTTATAGCAAAAAAATTCGTTGATGGGAAAATAACTGAAAAATCGAAAAAAATTTCTGTTAAATTTTCCAACCTCAAAATGAACTTATCCACTTGCGCCACTCAAGCCAATATGTTTTTCGAGTTAGTTACCATGTATGTTTTCATACTCTCGATTGGCTTGTGTGGAAAAATCGGTTAAAATATCGATTTTTCTTTACAAGATTACGCCCTTATTTTAACCCTTTAGCCACTTGCAACATTAAAGCCTTTGGTTTTTCAAAGCCTAGTTCTATTAATTAATCATATATTGAAAACGGTTTGTGTGGAAAAATGAGCAAAAAACACCTTTTATTTCTGTCAAGGAAAATCGAATTTTCCATATGTTATCCCCAGGGGCCACTCGTAAATTTCCTTTCATTCTACTCAAAATCGATGTACTTTTCAACCCTCTTCGAGGCTTGTAGGCGAAAATGGGGCACCTAAATCAGTCACTATCTGACGGTCTATAAATATATACGAGATTATTTTTCTCTTCAGTTTTAAATTCCGCAATAATAGACGATTACAAAAATGTATGTAATACTTATAGTCAAAAATCATTGGTTTGTGAATTAGAGATAAATGTTATGTCATAAATTTTTAATCCAAAATTTTATTTAAAGGGCTGGATTAATAAACATGGGAAGTTTTTTTATTAATATCGTTTTCTTTTTTTATTATTCAAACTAATCAAAATTAAAAATATATTAGTCCATTCTTTCAATAAAGTTTTAGATTCAGAATTTATGATATAACATTTGTCTCTAATTCACAAACCAATGACTTTTGACTATAAGTAGGCATTACATTAAGGGAAAATTCAAAAATGAAGAGAAAAATATGTTGTTCTATTAAAAAAAACAATGATGAAAGTGGTGACGTCATTAGTACATCAATTGTACGAGGGTGGTTTGACAAGGCAGTGACTTTTTGAATATTTTTTTCTTTTTCAAGTAAACGTTTTATTTCTTGACGTAATCTCCTTTTAGCTCGATACATTTAGTCCAGCGTTTTTTCAATTGTTTAATTCTTTCCAAATAATAGGTTTTCTCAAGGCCCTCAAAGTAAATGTTTGTTTTAGTGATGATTTCTTCATTCGACCCAAATCTCTTACCAGCTATTTCTTCAGGTATGGAAATAGAAAATAGTCGCAGGGGGCTAAATCTGGAGAATATGCTGGACGGGGTAGTAGTTCGTAGCCCAATTTAAGAATGTTTGGTAACTATACATGTGTGCACACGTGCATCGTCTTGATGGAACAGCACATTTTTTCGCTAAATGTGGGGGGTCGTTTATTCTTCAAATCAGTATTGAATATGTCCAAAAAGTGATTATTTTACCCTTTTCAAGGTAATTGATGGTAATGACACCGCGTGCATCCCAAAAAAAATGTGACCAGGACCATTTGGTGCACGTTCACGCGGAAAAACCCACTGTATTGATTGTTCTTTGGTCTCTGGTATGATGAATTGATGTTTCGTTTACGGTAACGAAAAGGCGGAAAAACTCCTTCGAATTGCGGCTGAACATTGCCAAACACTCCTTTGAAGTGGTCACACAACCTCTTTTGGACGACCTGCACGTTCGGCGTGTCACTTGTGCTGGTACGACCACAACGGAACTCAGTAATTAAAGGTGCAGAGTCCCCATTATTTATCAAGCCTTTCCTTGGTGTTAAAATTCACGAAATTGCTGTCAAACAAAAATTAAATGTCGTGGCTTGCTCAAAATTATACATATAGTGGTCTACTCATAAATGTCAGTTTACAGAGGAAGTGTGGCATTTAAAGTTACTGCGCGAAAAATTCAAAAAGTCACTCACTTATCAAACTATCCTCGTAGTGTAAGACGCGCAGTTAAAAAGAAAAATTGAATTGAACTGTGAAAGAATTTTGTTAAAATACCATTAGACAGAAATATATCGAATTTATTTCAACCTATAGATCCTCACTGTAGATGTCAGTAAACCAAAAAACTATAATTTTCTCATTATTCGATGTCTGTTTCGGTTATGAATTATTAATAGGCATTAGCAAGTATCCCATTAATAAGAATAAATCCGCAACTGTCACTAAAATTTTATTAGTATTCGAAAAATTAGATGTCCGAAAATGTACTTGTCCGCAAATGTACTTGTCCGCAAATGTACTTGTCCGCAAATGTACTTGTCCGCATCTGTTCCGGACTCTCCAGTCCAAGGTCTTAATCCTAGCAAAAATGTGATTGCATTTTGAATTGGAACGATAAAAAGAGGTCGATCAGCAGTTTTCTAAGTAAATTAAAGGAAACCTGCAAATGAAGATGTTTTGTTTGTATTTTCAAATGGTATATGAAAATTAAGACTCCAGTTGTATCATTTCACTTAATAAAAGATAAAATAAACTGTGATTGATTTGCATGATTGCACTTTCGACAAGTTAAAAATGAACCGCCATTTTTAGTCGTACTCTGACATTTTTTTTTTTTTTGAGAGTTTAAACCCGAGAATACCGGTTTAAACTGTGCACCTCGTCTAATAACCTCACTAAAAACGCCAGGAAACACTCACTTTTGTTGTTTTTGCCAATCCTCCACCATTTAAAGTCACGTGATTTGTATTGCCTAGCTGAGTTGCAGTTAGTTCCAGCGTTTCGCTGAAATTTAGACTGTAACAAATCCGTAAAAGTAAAGCACATTTAACTACAACTTTTCTAAGTATTCTCCATTGTCATCAATACAAGATTTACATCCTATAAAAATAATGCTAAAAGTATTGGCTCTAAGTTTATTTAGAGTAGATATTTTTAAACCAGAATTGACAAAGTCAAATAAAGAACATTTACGGATTTGTTACATTCCATCGCGTTCAAAGACGAACTCAACGTAATTTGACTTTTCCAATTCTGGTTTATAAATATGGACCCTAAATAAACCTAGTCATTGCTTTCAGGATTAGTATTATATAATGCAATCTTGTATTGACGAAAATGCAGAATACTTCGAAAAGTTGTAGTTAAAAGTTGGTCAAATAAATTCATACAGCATATGAATCTGGAAATTTTAAAAGGGAATGTCATTAATATGTTTCGAAAAAAGAAATGTATAAATGGTGTACTTTATAATCTTTAGCGTTTTTTCCTCTTCTCCTTTTGTCCCAGTTTGAGATTCACTAATTAATGAAATAAAAAGCACAATTTAGGTAAAAATAATTTTAATTTTTAACCACAATTCAGAGTCTGATATAGTAACTATGATAAATATAGCATCTATTATTACACACAATAGTAAATAATTTCAAAATCAGATAAATATATCACAATGCACAAGAAGCACAACAAAGGGCATTTTTTGAAATTCACCGATAAAAATCACTGGTTTCATAACCGAATTAGTTACTTAAATACTATTTTTCAAAAGAGCCTATAGTTTAGTTAAAATGTTAACTAAAGCTCCAAACCGTCAGTAGATAAACAACTAGCCAGTAACCCACACAAGTTAAAGTTTAGTTCACTTAATTATAATATATATTATTTTTAGTTATAGTTCACGTAAAGCTATTAGAACGTTTCAAATACCTAAATACTAGTTTTGTAAAAAAAATGTAAAAAATCAGTCAAAATAAAAAGATTTTTCTGTAAAAAGTTTGTTTCGAATTAGATTAAATTTGCAATTCAGAACTGTTTTCGAAATATCTTTTGAACGCCTCATGTCGATCTATTTTCATTAATTTTCGAGTCAACAACTATCTTTTCTCCTTTTAAAATGAATGATAATAAATGAGTTCTTATAATATGTCTCGTAATGACTATAAAATAAAGTGGATACAAGGTATCCTCGAGAATAGTGCGTCCTACAAAGATAAATAAAATTATTTATAACAAAAAAAGATTATGTTTTTCCTGGAGTCATCCCTTTTCCAGAAAATTTAATAATGCTAGCTGAAAAATAACTCGACGACCATCACGCACCTGGACGGAGTCCAGGGAAAACGTTTGGTATTGACGTATTAAATGACCCGGAACATAAAAATATTTCGACGAGTATGGGTATTGATAATCCACCTTCATTATTTTTTGTTATCTTTAAGATATATGAAATGCTTTTCAAAAACAGCTCAGGATTGTTATTCATTTTCAGAAACATAAAAAGCAAGGTTTAATATATTATATCCTAACTGCCTTGTCATTTATCATATCATTCCTGTCAAAATTATGCCACAAACACAGCTTATATATAATTTTTCCGGACTCCTTTCATCATTCCGTTGGTGTTTTGTAGATAAAATTGTTTAAGTAGTTGAAATTTTAGATTTTAATTTCTAGATCAAAAAATGTTCCTATGGATGAGTGAATTATTCTCAGAAAAACAAAAAAAAAGATTTAATTCGTTTCAAAAGTAAAAATTCTCCCTAAAAGTATATCCAAAAGTCAAGTTATTCTTTGTAGCCACAATACATTTTTGAAATTTCAAAATTGTATCACAAGAATAAATATACTAACCAGAAGGATATATCTGATCACGTGGTCGCTGGACGCTTTTAGCCTTCGAGCGTATCCAAACCGAAATTCTAAATCGAAACTCAGTGCAGTAGCGACTTACACAGGAGGAGATATCGAAAGTGTGATTTATAATTATTATTCTGATTAAATATTTTTATCGTTGTTTTAATATTAACTATTTTCTGATTTTGTATCTAATAAAATAGTTTCTTGGAAATATAATCCACAATTTTATAATATTGATCAGAGTTTAATTACTAGATCAGCACCTAAACTAGGCGACTTGCATATATTTCCTAGTAATTTCGAAAAAATGTAGGTAAAATATGAAAGTCTGGTATTTAGTTTTGCAGTTTCAGTGGCTTTAAATATGTACGTCGAATTAGTAACTCATCTAAAGAAGTCCAGGCAACTGCTCATAAATTTTATCTTCTAAACTCCTCGAAAATATTAAACTGGAAGAAATATAATTTTGCGTTTAATAATCTTGACTTTCAATTAGCATTTTTGAATGAGGTTATTGACGTTGGAAAACTTAAAAGTTTTAAACAACCTAAGCGAGAATGTAACTAAAAACATGAAGTTTTTAACAGGTTCTAAAATAATAATTCTATTCTTCATTTATGGGATTTTCTAAAATCAAAAAAGTTCCTTTTTACTAAAAATTTAAACCAAGATCCGTTGGAAAACTTGTTTGGTCCTAAAAGACAGCAAACTAGTAATAATTATGATGATTCAATAGTCGTTCAATTTCAAAGAACCTTTAGCAACTTATTCGGTGCAAAGCTAATCATCTCTGGAACTCAAAACTGCGAGGATGACTTGGATAATATGCTTTTTCGAGTTCCTGATGTAATTAAAGATACAAAATTACCTACTTTCCATATCCCTCTAAAACACATTTCTCAGAACTTGGGAGCAATTATGAAAAAGAGTCTACGTTAGAAACCAATTTAGAAAAAAAGTATTTTGAGGGTTACCTAGTTTAAAAAAATGTTTTATCTGTTCATCCTTGTCAAATTTGTGAGGCATATTCAAAAGTCTATCAAAATTTGGATGATACATATTTGATACATCTTTGTTTTGCTACTACGAAGCTTACAACAACTCTAATTTAGATTAATTTGGTAGCTTAAATATGTCGCATGATGATCTTATAAAATTTCTGTTCGTTAGAGGTAACATATTAATTAAATTTTAAAAGTATTATTATATTCAAAAATGTAATAGATACTTTTCAAAGTATTTGTAAAAATACAAATTTTTCACACCTAAGTGTAAATTTTTCACACCCATGTGAAAAATTTGCAATTGGGTTTTTAAAAAATTATTCTGTAGGGTAAGATTATTTTATACCCTTAAATGTATCAGTAGAAACTTTTAAACTGTAAAAGACGAGAAGTTTGTTATTTGGAAAAATATGTAAATAATTTTTTATATCTTTACTACTAAATTAAATTTGTAATGTATGAAATTGAAAAATAAATATCTGCCTACTATTTGTTAATTTAACTGACCTTTTTTTCGCTATGGAGCACAAGTAATCACCTAAATACAAGGTCACAGCCTGTCAGCATCAACCACAAAGTAATTAAATCAGAGATATCCTTATATATTTTTTTTTTATTCATCTCAGTTTGATAAATCCAAAAAAATGCCTATTTTACTATTTTAACTATATACGCCGATAAATACTGTGCAATGATTCGTAAATAGTAGTAGTAGTGGATATGAATGGCCATATCGCACAAAGACGAAATTTGAGCACGACGCCGTAAGCGGAGTGCTCAATCGTCTAAGTGCGATATGGACAATCCACTCGAGTTGTACAGTATATTTTTTCTACGACCCACTAACGAAAATCTACAAATATTAAAAATTATTTTAGGTTATTAAGATAAAATAATTAATTTAATTTTTTTTTTAATAATTTATAAAATAAAATAAACAAGAAATAAAAAAATATTTCATTTTTCTCCATCTGAGATTTGAACTCGAGTCTTCCGTATGGAAGGCAAGAACGCTGACCACAGGACCATCTACGCGTTTATTTTTTTTTGCTTTAATACTCGTAGTTTTATTTAAATTAACAAATTATTTATAATTATAGACGAAATAAAAATAGAAATTCTATTATGTATCAATTCTACACAAGAATAACTTATTTTAATGTATGTTTAACCTCAATAACTAAAAAATATACTGACAAATAGTTTGACAGAATTGTTACTTATTTAAAATTTTAAAAATAATAGCCGTCGGTTGATCAAAATATGAACTGTGATTGGTGGATTTCATTTTTTGCAGTATTCTCATTACCTATAATGGATATGAAATATATTCGTTCAGTTGAAGGCAATAGCATACTTTTTCGTTTTGTAATCTGTGGATAGATAAGCTAATATCCATGTGGGTGTAGAAAAAATGTATTCTTGATTGTTAGATAAAAATTTAAAGATTCTAATGGTTGTCAAATCATAATTTGATCTTAAATAATAAGTTATATAGTTAAAAGAAACTAAAACGTCATGCCTACTAGAGCCTGGCAATAATTTTTCGCTGCTCGGCCAAATCAATCGGGTAAGGTAGTCAATTATTCAGCTGGGAAACTACATACGTTAGAAGAGGTCTTAATAACGTGTTTATGTCTGTATACTTTTAATTTCATATAGCCGAGATAAAAACCAAAAGAGAAATTTATTGTATGTAAGTAAAATTTATTGTGCCTAACAGGATACATAGAAAAACTTGATTTTTGGATATGATGTTAAGGAGAATTTTTACTTTTGAAATATATATTAATGGTTAGTTCGGTCTGTGCACTCTTTTGTACATTCACTCTGAAAGTACCAAAGAGCGTTCGGAGACGGATAGAGTTAAAATGGAAGTTCCTTCATACTGTAAAACTGTAAACTGTTTATGTTTTTAGAATACCTTAATCAATAACAGTACCATTTTTTAATGATCTATGCCATTCAAAACCAAAAATCAAAAATTACAATTTCCACTACTTAATTTTATCCATAAAATTGCAAAGGAAATAAATTTAAACTAAGTAGTTTTAGCTCTTTCTACTCGCTTTTACCCTGTCTATCTGGTTCACTTCCGGCATAACGAAGTTGACGTACCACTGTGAATAAGCCGGTTATATCGGAAGTAACCCAATATTTCGAATAAAAATTTGATAAAATTAGCATCATAAATCGGACGATCATGAAATGACATTCGACATTACCAATTCGCACTTATCGCACAGCTTCAATTCTATCACCGAATTTTTATAACTTAATGATTAATAATACACTGTATTAAACTCGAAAATTATTGTAAAAGGAAATAAACCTTATCAATACGAAAATGTTAATCTCTAATTCACGAATCGAGCACTTTAATCAATGACCATCAGCGTTCGATTGAATTTCAAAAGACACCCAACCAAATCGATTGATCGAGAATTACAATTTATGATCAGCCTCAGCGGCCACAAGAGAACTGACAATCGATTTGTACGATTCTGAAATTTCTCAGTAACAACAAATCTTTGAACATACCCATTGAAATTAAACTTATTTTTTTTTATTACGGCAACTAAAAGAAGTTATCGGGAACTCTTAAACGTTGGCATAATGAAAACCCACAGTACCCGAAACCAGACGCCCATTAACATGATATAAAGTAGTATGTAGTAAATTACTTCCGTATATTACTGAGAATAAGAGGAAATGGAATTAGCATGCAACCAGGATGAAATACGGCAGGTGAATGAATAGCTTCTGGGTCCCAAAAAGACGGAAAGATAGCTGGTAACCAACGTCGCAAAAAACCCTTAAGTAGACAGAAGAAACAGTCCAAAAAAATGCCTCTTGCTTAAACTCATTTTAAAAAGCATATGAGGAAGGAGAATAAAGAGAGTAATGAATGTTCAAGCTATTGGCGATTTGAAGCTGAAAATTAGGGCGTATAGTAAATATTCTTGAAGCCATAGCGAGTTTCGAGTATTGCTTTGTTTTGGACGTTTTCGGAGTCAAGCAGTGTTGCCTCCACTGCAGTGTTGGATGGATGACGGAATTACATCGGCTGTTACAACAATATTGCACATCTTTGGAAAAGAGACTAACAGAGAATAGCTGCTACAGAAATGTCCCTAAGTAAGACCATTAGCAGACTAGGTTATTAGACCCACCAAAGAAACAAGACATTCGGCAAGAGCTGTGAATAACAGTCAATGATGATTTTTTTACGAAGAATGGTACCAGAAGAAAGAATATCGCTTCTTATTAATAATTAAAACCTAATAGAAGAAATTATACTACAGATGATAAAATGAAATGTATTTATTGATTATGCTGATGATGATAATGAGTAGCAATTAACCATTTGCCATAAGGTGTAATTAATGCAAAAACTCCCAAATTGTGGCACAATAACTTTTGAAGGTTACAGTGCCACCACGCTCGAACCCTGAGGATTCAAGAGACAGATGGAAATAATAGCAAACAAAATTCAAAGTAAATAAACCATTCGCGGACAGAGATGCATCGGCACCTCGAATAGTTTAGCTCAGAGAAAAATAGTATAGACGAGTTGTTATGTTGACTAGTTTATTTTTACTGAACCCTAGAAAACATCGGCCACTTAAAAGACGACCTTTGTATAAAATAATTCTATGAATTTTCTTGGTTACAACAATGAAATCGCTCTAGAATGACTTACTATTCAGGAGTTATAAGTCAGCAGTCAGGATAGTTTCGGTTATGACGTCACATCAGCCTCGACAAAATGAGCTGCATAGACTCCTAATAAAACACGATAAGTACACATTACAGTCCAACTAGGCAGAGGCAGATCCTATGCCTTACCAGATTAGGAAAAAACGAGACTCATTACGATACCATGGAAAGTATATAGAATAGTGCTTCAGAAACTAAAAGAAGAGACCAAGGAAGACAAAAGGATAGCCATTCATCACAAAAAAATCATGCTAAGAAAAATGACTGAAGTGATCATCAAGGGTAAGAATAGTATGATGAATAAACATCTACACCACCAACAAACAACAGAAAAAGAGACACCTAAGGACATATTGTCGTGGACAGTGCAAAGAGTTGCAAGGAGGTACTCAGCTCCTTCAAAGCCTTAGCCAGGGACAAATTACCCGTAGTGGCAATAAGAAATCTTAAAAACACTAAGGGATTGAAGGTTACTCATCACCAGCAAGACCACATCAAAATAGACATGGTAAAACGTTTCATAATTAGCACAATTTCAACTACGGAAGGACTGATAACTAATGCAAACAAGGAATCCTGTCCACCGTGCAATAAAAAAGGATACAAGGTTGGTACGGCAAATATCCAGTATTTAAGAAACTCAGAAAAAGTAGAAACCCAACAACAAGAAAAAGGCCAAATAAAGGAACAAACAAATCATGAAACACTAGAGTAATATATGGAGGAATTTTCAAAAATAATAAACGAAGCATAAGAAATACTCGAGGAAATTATAAACAGAGAAAACCAAGGGAAATCGAGCTTTAAATTCAAGTTCCTACACTTTAAGGACTTAAACATATTTTTGGCTTATCCCACATTACTTGCGATTGAAATAATTAGGTATGAGCAAACAAATTAGATCAGCTTGAGTAACATAAACACAAGCTGTCGAGAAGTTGATGGTTGACCAAAAGAGACATAATGAGAGGCAAAAACATTAAAAAATATCTGAAAAGACAATTGGAATGGTGAGCACATTTAATGAGAATGGACGGATCGATACTAGTAAGGATTCGGGAAGCAATAATACAGAAAAATAGATGGACTGGCATTACATCAGAACTAAATATCTTCGCTATTAATCAACTTAAACGCTTCGGACAAAAACGGGTCTATTGTAATGAATACACTATTTCAATTTCATACAAAAATAAGTTACCAATTCATTTTAAATGAAAAAAATCGTATGAGTCAGTTTTCTCTTGTGATCGTTGATAGACAATGTCACTTATGTTACGTCTCTGGGATAGTGAGAAGGCAACTACAAGGAAAAGAATTTGAGGAAGGCGGACGGAGGGACGGGGCATGGAGCGCTGGCTCCTCCGGCTTCCTGGATGCGAGCTCGAAATTCGGGACATTGATCTGCGATGCACGGATGGCCAAGGGATCTCCAAAACAAGCAGCGGCAGTATCGACATAGAGACAACATTTCGGCGTATTGCCTTTCCTCGTTTAAACCGAAGGTTCTGAAAAAAAAAAATAATAATAATAAATAAGCACTCATTGAAGTCATATTATGTAAGTACAAGTATAGCAGTTGCAAAGAAATGTTCCTAATACCATATAGGAAAGTGTAATATATTTGTGTGGATAAGAATCTACTTTCCACATTAGCTGTAGAACCAACCACTTTTTTATTGAATCTCCATAGCCAGACATCCTGGCTTTACACTTTTTTAATGAAATCAACTCGTAGTTGCAGGAAAAATAATGCACAAAAATGATTTTTCACACTCATATGATTGGTTTCATTGCGACAATATTTCCCAATCGTGTCACTTTTCGCACACCATCTATATAACAACCTCGTATTTTTAACGTTGTTGCTAGAGATGATGTACATCGGAAATTTCAATGCAGCTGCTAACATGTAATGTAATATTTATATAAACTGAATGAGACAAAAAGTTAATAAAAACACACTGTGTTTTAGTCAAGTATTTAATTTTATCAAAACGGCCGAGGTTTAAGCGAACAGAAAACAGGAAATAAGGAAATATTTTTATATTTCCTACATAAAAAAACAAATCAAAATGATTAATTTATTTCTTTAAATGAATATGGCCCATTGCCAAAAAAAATTGACAATATAATTAAGTTATTTTTAATCAAAATTTTTCCATGTTATTGAACCGAAATACTTATGAGACACCCTCTGCATATTTTAAGAGTTCATTTTGGAATTATAAATAGATTTGATTCTATTTTAGAACAAAAACATTTTACAGACGTCGCGTCAACGAGAAAACACAATAAGTTTAATTGTTTATTCAAACACACGACGGCGTGTTATTGTAAGAGAGAAGAATATTTTAAAATAGAAAAAATCGATATTTGAAAAAAATGCAACGTAACCTACAAATATTAAAGTTTTGCATGCCACTGTCAATGAGAAAGAACACCTCGAAACTTCTCAGCTTAGATTATTTTTTTACAGATATCAGATCCTTGTTTTATCGGTCGTTTATTTTTTCAAATTTTTAACTTTTTTTCTCAAAATTTGCACTTTTTTAAAATAGTTTTTTCTTTGTGTTACCAAAATGCTGTGAAAAAAAATAAGATGCAAGATTTACAAACAATGAAACTAAGGAATCCATTACAACAACCTTAATAAAGTGAAAACAAACTAATTAAAATTTAAAAAATGTGACCCTTCAGGGATCAAAATATTGGTTCTGTGAGGGTACCGTTAGTAACGTCATGAACAATAATTTATTATAAATAAGTGCAGACTTATAATAAATAGACATTCATGACGTCACGAACGGTACTCGCACTGTAACTATTTCGAGAATTGGCTCCATGGATCTTGGTGACCAATCAGGTCACCGGAGCATATAGCTATAACAACAGAATTGGCAATTTAAAGACAGCAGATTCCAAATTTAGCTTGTACACATACCTTTTCCAGCTATCTCAATTCTTCTTTAAACAGATATGCTTTTTAGGATATTTTATCAATGTAAATATTCGCGATTCAAATTAATTTTCGCGCGCCTGTCATTTGTCACCTATAAGTAGGATGTTTGTTTATTTATATGTGTTTGTTTTGGGCGGATTTTGTATTTGAGATTTTTTTAACTATTTTTTGATAATATTCCCATTGTAATAGTGTTTTTGAGTTTAATTTAGTGTTAATTTAAGTTTAAGTCTCGTGCTTTGGTCATAAATATAATATTTATTATGTTTATTACTTAATTTGTTGGAAATATTCACCTATTGGTTGCTACAAGAACATCTTGAAATATGTATTTACTAAACCCAGGACATGTTTTATTATGTGGTTTAAATTACATTTCAGGTACCACACATTTATTATAACTTAATTAAAAATCTGATGTGTCCAACACATGACTTTCCTATCTAGTTATTACAGGCTTTTTCCGGTTATTTTGTACAACCTATTGCAGCACCTCGATAAATGTTTAGAGGATAAAATAAATATATACATTTTCCACATACATCTACCTCGAAACATTTTTCTATAGATATTCATTAAAAATTAAAATACTGGAAAATTTAAATTTAGCACTTTTCCTACAATTTTTCCATTACGGTCCATTTTAGAGAAATCATGTATAAACAAAAGTTATAGAGATCGATATGGCAAAAATTTTTATTTCAACAATTTTTATAAAAAAATATTTTTTTTTAAATTTTGTAAAATTTCTCGAATACGGACCATTTTAGGAAAATTTTGTATAGAACAAAAATTATAGATAATTATATTAGAAGTAACTTTTATTTGAAGAATTTTCTCCTCCAAACGAAAATAACAGATATATTCCATAAAATATAAAAATGGCCACCTATAAAGTACCCCCCCCCCAGATGTTCCGACTCTGCCCAAAATCTAATCAGTTCATTAGACGCTGGAATAAAGCTTAAGTTTAAAATTTGGTGTTTTTCTGTGTATCGGTTCATGAGTTATGCGACCTACAGACCACACACACACGCACACACGCACACACGCACACACGCACCCACGCACCCACGCACGCACGCACACACACACACTCTGTGTGTGTATGTGTCTGTGTGTATGTGTGTCTGTGTGTCTGTGTCTGTGTGTCTGTGTGTCTGTGTGTCTGTGTGTCTGTGTGTCTGTGTGTCTGTGTCTGTGTGTCGCATAACTCATGAACCGATACACAGAAAAACACCAAATTTCAAACTTAAGCTTTGTTCCAGCGTTCAATGTGCTGATTAGATTTTGGGCAGTGTCGGAACATCTGGAGGGGTACTTTATAGGTGGTCATTTTTATATTTTATGGAATATATCTGTTATTTACGTTTGGGGAAAAAAATTCTTTAAATAAAAGTTACTTCTTATATTATTATCTAAAATTTTTGTTCTATACAAAATTTTCCTAAAATGATCCGTATTCGAGAAATTTGACAAATGGTAAAAAAATATTTTTTTATAAAAATTGTTCAAACAAAAGTTGTTTGTAATATAATTCTCTATAATGTTTATCCTATACATAATTTCTCTAAAATAGACCGTATTCGAGATATTTGAGAAAATGTGTAAATTTCGAAATTTGAAGAAAACTCAAAAACGGATAAAGAAAAAACATTAAATTTTAAACTTAAGTTTTATTTCGGCCTGACGTGAAATGATTAGATTTTGGACAAAGTCGGAACATCTGGGAGGGTTATTTCTATTATTATTATCTATAATTTTGGCTTTATGTCAAAATTTCCTGAAATGGTCCGTATTCGAGAAATTTGACAAAATGTGCAAAATTCCGATTTTTATGAAAATTGTTGAAATAAAAGTTGTTTGCGATATCGATCTCTATAATTTTTGTTTATGCATGATTTTTCCAAAATGGACCGTAATGGAAAAATTGTAGGAAAAGTGCTAAATTTAAATTTTTCAGTATTTTCATTTTCAATGAATATCTATAGAAAAATGTTTCGAGGTAGATGTATGTGGAAAATGTATATATTTATTTTATCCTTTAAACATTTATGGAGGTGCTGCAATAGGTTGTACAAAATAACCGGAAAAAGCCTGTAATAACTAGATAGGAAAGTCATGTGTTGGACACATCAGATTTTTATTATCTGTATCTTTAACGTGTGGAGGGTGGATTACCCCCACGGCACTTAGGCCTCATTAGGTCCATGACATTTTTATTATATTATATGTTAGTATTACAAAAGCAAATACATAGAGGGCTTAATAGAATATAATTTTTTATTATATTATATTCTTAATAACTTTCTATTTTTTTTTTTTTTTTAGCAAACAAACACAAGCCCTCTATGTATTTTCATTTTTAATACTAACACCTCTACAAAGCAATATTTAACTTACAAATTCTGGAGAGTCTGTGATTTATTGCCAACTTTGATGGCTTGTTGCCCCAGTGTGCGACGTAGCGAAATTTTGCTATTTCTGGCAACACTGAACGATATCCTACTTATAGGGACCTTCTACAAATTTCCTCCAGAGGGCGTATCACTTAGCTTCTTCGAGCATATATTAATATGCTCGAAGCTTAGCTTGAATTGCGAATACGAATATTTTTCAATTTATTTGACAAGTTGTTATAAATTTTTTTACTATCTATCTGATAGATAAACGATCTTTTAAATGCTTCTGAACTCAGCAATAGTGTATTAATAAGCCTTTTGTTATAATGTATTTAAGATGTGTATCCTTGATCTAGAGCGTATTTTATTACATTAAGAAACAGGGACATTTATTTTGTAAGATTATGTGATATATGAAGCCATTTAGAAGATACAGGTTGTCACATATATTTAGCCATCCGGCCTCATTTTTATTATGAGATTCTTTGTCTCCTACTAAATAGTAAGTAAAGACAAAATTTTAAATGACTTGTATTCTTCTTATGTTTGTACTAACTATACACGGTCCGTACACACTGACACAATAATTAAAATAACTTACTTTTTCAACGAATGATAAACTTCCTTCCAATCAATTTGATTACTATCTTTGGGTAAAACTAGCTCGACTTGCTGTGAAGTGAAATGGAACTTGACCAATTCCCTCCAGATCCTTTGTTCGCTTACGATAGCTGCCATTTGTTCGCAGGATTCGGCACTGGCTGTCAAATCTCTGTGGTCGGATAACCTTAAAATTATTTCTCTAATACATTCTTCTGGCAGTTGCAATAATTTCGGTTGAGTATTTGGTTCGCGGATCTGCATTTGGGCTGCCATGTTTAATATCCTTTCGATTTTGGTAGCGTGTTGGTGCCAGAGGACTTGAGATCCCAAAGGACCTATAATTTAATTATAATAAATTAATTAAAATATAAGGGGTTTTTGAAATATATGTACATGTGAAATACCTATTAGAACTATTGGCGATTCAAATTAATTTTCGCGCGCCTGTCATTTGTCACCTATAAGTAGGATGTTTGTTTATTTACATGTTTTTGTTTTGGGCGGATTTTGTATTTGTGATTTTTTTAACTGTTTTTAGATAATAATCTCATTGTAATAGTGTTTATGAGTTTCATTTAGTGTTAATTTAAGTTTTGTTTCCGTGCTTTCGTCATAAATATAATATTTATCATGTGTATGACTTAATTTGTTGGAAATATTCACCTATTGGTTGCTACAAGAACATCTAGAAATATGTATTCACTAAACCCAGGACATGTTTTATTATGTGGTTTAAAGGACATTTCAGGTACCACACGTTTATTATTGATGAACTTATTTAAAAATCTTACTATACTTATTCTTATATTATGAAGTGAATCATGTAGTACTTTGTATACATGTAAATGGTAATAAAACCATCACAAATCAGATTACAGTTTGATTCTAAACAAATTTTTATAAAATTTCAATATTGTGAATTTGTAGATATCCATTTTTCGTAAAAAACAAAATTTTACGACTTCAGTTTTGGTTTTGACATTAACACCATATAGATGGCAATTTTCTGGGGACTTTTTCGCAGATTTCATTTTTAATATAAACACTATCACATACTATAAGAAATAAACAAATTTAAAGCTAAAAAGTAAGAAAAAACTCGAATTGTAATTGATACAAATTAAAATGTAAACAATGAACACGAACGCCAATGTTGCCAAATGATGAACTGATTTTAAAACAAAATTAATAAATGAACTAAAATTTAAAAAAAAATCAATATAATAAATCGGTTTTATAAAAAAATCCTTAAATAAATATAGATTATGATTACATATTACCATACACAAATTTTGATTCTTAAATAAAAGGTCTTATCCACTTCTTCAAGAGCTAAAATCCGACGACGTAGCGAAGTTTTGCTACTTCTGGCAACACTGAACGATATCCTACTTATACGGGCCTTCTACAAATTTCCTCCAGAGGGCGTATCACTTAGCTTGAATCGCAATCGACACGGAGTAATATATGTCAGATCAGGAAATTTCAGGTGTGGGTGCATACATTATTATTTACGGGGTACATAAAATCAACATTTAAAAATATATTTTTTTGAATATGTATTATTGAGTATTATTTCAGTATGTAGGTACTTTACAAAATGTTTTTTGAGTTATTTGCAATTGTTATGTAAATGATAGCTATATGTTTGAGTAAACTAATAAGGTATACAGGGCGTACCAATAAACACTCCCAGGCCGGATATTTTGGTAAGTAATAGAGATATTTTAATTCTGTAAAAGCCAGTGCACAGAGCACTAAGAGAGCTTCAGATATAAATTGATTTTCAATAGATCAATATGTAGATGGCGCTGCGCTCAATTTTTTTTTTTTTTTTTTTTTTTTCGATGGGAGGATATTTTTTGTATAGCGCATCTTGTAAAAAATGCATTTTTAAACAGATTTTGTTCTATAAACTAATTCGATAAATAGCCATTTTTAATATACAGAGTGGGTCACTCAAAACAGTTTCATCCTGTTTTTCAGCATTAATCAATGGATTTTAAGAAAATACTAAAACAGGACGATTTTTATTCTAAATTAAAAACATTTTTACAGTACAATATTTATATTAATGTTATGTAGTGCATTGAATTAGTAATTAAATTAGCTTTCAAATTAAGTGTCACACTTTATAATACGTTACAGGTTTTTTTATCCCAATAGAGGGCGCTAAAATTAAAAGTATCGCAATAAACAGTCATATTTCTGACTTCCCCATAAAATTACTTTTTTAATGATGTGTCGTATATGGTACATTCCTTATTTAAAATTAAGGGGTTGGAGAAGTGGAAGAAAGCGGGTTGACACATGACAGATGTCTGTACTGTAAAAATGTGTTCAATTTAGAATAAAAATCGACCTGTTTTAGCATTTTCCTAAAAGCCAATGACTAATGCCGTAAAACAGGATGGAACTATTTTGAGTGACCCACTCTGTATATCAAAAATGACTAGATTTATCCAATTAGTTTATAGAACAAAATCTGCTTAAAAATGCATTTTTACAAGATAAGCTATATAAGAAAGATCCTACAATCGAAAAAAATATTGAGCGCAATGTTATCTACAAATTGGCCTATTTAAAATTAATTTATATCTAAAACAGAAGCTCTCTTAGCGCTCTATGAACTGGCTTTTACAGAATTAAAATATCTCTACCTAGGATTTGAAGTTAAGATAAGCAGTTGCAATTAGTATCTTGGTCAGTTCCCAATATTACCTACCCTGTTTGATTAGCATTCTATATTATCTATTATAGTAAGAAGTTGTGGTATTTTCGGTTAATAGTGACAGTAATATTGAAAAATGCAGTTTGGTTCAAGTTCAAAGTTTACACCTATGAAACGTATAAAAAAAATGTGCGTTGTCAATTAACGAGAAAATATTTGTAAGCAATGTTTATAATTGCCTAAGAATGGAAAATCCTTTGTTTTCTGTTGTCGATACTGTTGAAAAGACAAGTACTATGATGGGTGTAAGCAAATCAACGATATATAAAGTTATAAGTGAATTAAAAAGTGGAGTTATTAAACACCCAAAGAAAAATGCAGGAGTTAAAAAAAAGTGGAATTTACTGAACAAATTAAAAGCGGAATAAGAAGAAAAGTTCAGGAATTTTATTTTACAACACTTGCCAAGGTTTTGGACGCAATAAATAGTGATCCATATTTTCCTAAAATGGGAAAGACAAAACTACGGGAAACTCTAATAGATTTGAAGTTCAAGTGGGATTAACAGGACAGGAAAGCAGCACCTATTGATATTGAGGAAATTGTTTGTTGGAGACGGAGATACCTCAGAACCATTTTTAAATTACGTGTAGAAGGCAAAAAATATTTTATTTGGACGAAACCTGGGTGAATGAAGGTTACACAGCAAAATGTGGCAGGGCACAAACATACAATCTTTACGGCAGGCTTTTTTGGAAGGATTATCTACAGGATTGAAGGTTTCTTCCGGTAAAGGACGACGTCTAATTTTAACTCATATTGGAAGTAATGACATGTTTTTAAAACGTGGTTCTTTAATATTTTAATTTAAAAAAAAACCGGAGACTACCATAATGATATGAACGCTGATGTTTTTAAAGAATATTTTCAGCAGATGATAGAACATTTACCAAAAGGTTCAGTTATAGTAATGGATAACGCTAGTTACCATTCCCGTCTAATTGGATGTGTGCCAAATACTTCATGAAAGAAAGATGATATCATTAAGTGGCCAACAGACAGAAACATTAACTTTCCAGAAAAATCAATAAAAATAGAACTACTAGAAATTGTGAAATTAAATAAGCCAGTACGTTATGTAGTGGATGAACTTGCAAAAACACATGGTATTGATTTTGTGCATCTTCCTCCCTATCACTGGAAACTAAATCCTATTGAACTGATAAGGGCACAAGTTAAAGGATGTGTAGGTCCACATAATACGATATTTAAGTTAAAAGATGTAGAAGCATTGTTAGAAACCTCTATATCACTTGTTACGAAGGAAAATTGGCAGAAGGCAATCGAGCATGTGTTAAAAGAAAAAAACATTTGGAATCTGGACAAAATCTTGGATGTCGATACTACTTAATAATATCAGTAAATAATGACTCATCAAGTGAATATAGTGAATCAGAGACTTTCAGGTTTCCTGATCATCGAGAGTAGGTAAGCATATCTATTTTATATCTAAATGTTATAACCATATTAGTAAAACAGGAGTAGGGTCTGGCGGCGCAGGGTTGAGACCACCCAATTAATGCTGCTAGAAACTAAACCACCAAAAAAAAAAGCTCAAAAGCGTGCAAGACTGCAAAAACGCAAGACAAATCAGAGCATGTAAAAAAAGTGGTGAAAATATTAAATTTATTGAGTTCTTAATATGTTACAACCAAAAAAACACAAAAAATTAAAAAGTTGGCTTTAGGGGTGAGTGGCGAGGGGACTCGCCTAAAAAAAAGCATCCCGGCGGTTAAATTACAATTATTTAAGTTTAAAATAGTAACAAAAAAAATGATAATACAAACAAATACTCCTAATTTACCCAACCGTGCACTCATCAGAGTCTTAAAAGGGATTAAAATAATGGTAGCCCGTTGTTACGTTCCACAAAGCCGGGCGGCACAGGTAAACTTCATAAATTCACCACACCTTTTAAAATCACAGATTTTGTTTGAACCGCCTGTGCGTAAAACTCCCATAAAATTTTGATTTATTACCCGAGAATAACCAAACGCCGAGAAGCGACAAAGACCCTTTCCCGCCGGGTCTGTTTTCGAAGGCGCATGATCGAAAATATGGTGTCTATTTGCATGTGGCCAACTAGATCAGCGCGACACCGTATACGAAGGTGTCCTGTGATTTTAATCTGAGCGCAACAACTGTAGTTTCGACTATTTTGAATTATTTCTTTCAGTTATTACTGTGTGATTTTTATTGTGTTTTCTGGATAATTTCGTAACAAAATGGTTGGATCTTATTGTGTAGTTCATGAATGTGATTCCAAAAATGGCAGCGGAATGAGTCTTTTTGCAGTCAAAGGCATATAATTTTAAATGCAAAATAAAAAATGTACTCCCTTACTAAAAACATATTTAGAGTTGAGCAGTGTAAATTACACATTTCCGCGCGATCGCGTGACTGCGAGCCAATTCAGCTTGCGTGCAGTGTAATTATGGTGTCTTCAAGGTCACCGCAAATCGATCCCACAAACATAAAACGTTCCGACAAAGCTGTCGCTTCTCTCGGATTCTACTATAGTTAATATTGAACACAAAACATATATATTTTATTAGGTTTTGAATATCGACCTTAAACTGTTAATATAGGTTAGTTATAAATGAT